GTTTTTCCTGTCCATCTGTATTTATATTGGTTAGCAGCTGGTTTTTCATATTTGGTATGGTCCGTAGTTTCTTCACATTTACAAGCTGCATTTACCCACGTTCGCATTACTCTTCTCAGCACCTGTTCTGCTGGAGTTTTGGCCGTTGCTGTAGGTGATGTGGTACTGGATGTAGCCAAAGCTGATACCAAGGCATACTCTCAAGATTCCCCAGAGAGCTGAAGGACTTGGACGGACTCCTTCAACGTCAGATTAAGCCGTTCAATCATTTCATTAACAGTTGGATTATAAGGCACCGTTCTGGCGTGTTTGATGCCATTGCTCTGAAGGAATTCGCCATACTCGCCATTTCGAAACAGGGGTCCATTATCAGTAAGAACTTCTCGTAGCAGGTCATACCTTGCAAATAAGTACCGCAGCCACTTTATAATGACACCTGTAGTTACGTCTCCGCATGGGACAGCTTCTGGCCATTTGCTAGAAAAGCAAATGGCAGCCAGCACGTTTCGTTTCTAAAAGGCTTCTAACAGGCTTTCTCTGATCCTAGCAACGGACAGGCCGGAGATCAGTTGCTGTATAAGCATCGTTTCTCCTAGCTTCTTCTTGGGAACAGTCATAGTCACACTTCCTCACAAAACAGACAAGACGGGATACGAAGTTTTCCAACTGCTCGTCGGGTGTTTGCTTTATATGGGGGAATTTGTAACGGTAAGTTTATGTGTTCATACGCACTCCCAAATGCTTATGGAGTGCCAGCAATGCATCCTTCAGGATAGGCTTATCGCGAAGGTTCTGGGCAACAAATATACGCCGACCTTCAGAACCGAGATGCAGCTGCAGGAGCCTTAAAGTATCTTCTGGTTTTAACATTACAGATGTGTTCAGGGTAGGTAGAACTGAAATGTAATCCAAAAAAAGTAATTTTCCAATACCTCCACTATTCTGCCGTTGGGGTAGATGTGGGATCCGTCCAGCATTGAGTACGGGCTGTGTTGTGTAGACTTTGGTAGCCCGCGCCATCAATTTGCCGTGTCCGTGAAAGTAGAACATTAACTCAGTAACGTAAACGGATGTATGAACACTGAACACGTAACAGCGGTTGCGATAATTAAACCATTCACACAAGCCAATCAGAGGCAAGCACGCACTCATCCAAGGACCGTTAAGTGGGCATATGATTCGCGACCGTTCAATGGTGATGAGAGATTAGAGAGTACTATGGCAACACCGCAGGTAGTCATGCTACACAGCAATTGCTGCGCGTCCTTCAGTACATATATTCTGTGGATAACGGGTGTCCTATACCCTCAAAGCCTTATCGGCAACTTGAGAGTGTAATGCCAAATTATTCATTAATTGCATCAGAGGACCTTGATGTCTTGGCAACCTTGGACCTCCGTAAACCGGCTGGACCTGAAAATGTGCATCTTGCCAATGTCAAGCCGCTGGCTAAAGTGATCCAGTTTGCTGTCTTGGACCTGTACAGCATGTCACTTCGGGAAGCTAGGCTACCACAAGGCTGGAAGGAGGCAGCAGTTGTAACGATACTCAAGGGGGCTCTAAATCAGTGCCTGTCGACTAGAGATCTGTCAACCATACCATACCATAGTGTTCTGCTTAAATGCCTGGAAAAGCTTAGCAGGGACCGCATTTGTGGGCACCTAGTTGCTCAAAACTTGATAGAGACGGAGCAGTACGGCCTCGTCAAGAAACTGTCATGCCTCACTAATCTGCCCTGCTTTTTGGTTGAGAGTACCCGCTGTCTCAACGATGGGATTTCAGTAGCAGTTTGCTATCTAGACTTTAGCAAAGATTTTGTTTCCGTTAACCATCTTTTCTTATTGGAAAAGCTGACATGGTGTAGTATACATCCCAATTTACTGAATTGAATAGTGGAATTTTTAGCAGGAGTACCTTCTGTGTTGAAGTTGGTGACTCCAGCTAGAGTACAGGCACTGTTCACAGTGGTGTTACCCAGGATTCTGTTCTACGCCCACTATCGTTCCTTATTTATATAACGGACTTGTCTTCCCCACTTGCAAACTCAGTCTATATCTTTGCAGACTATGTAAAACTTGTAAACAAGGGCAAACTTAACGCACCATCGAGGGATCTTTACACCTTTGTGGGGTGGGCATCCTTGTAGGCCTTGCCTCCTAAAGCAAGAAATGTCAACTATTATTATCCAGCGTCGAAGGGATTACGTTACGAACTAGTGGCCGTACGTTGACGTTGAGTTGCATTGATCAAGCATGTGATTTATGTGCAAGTTTGGGCATCGTATCTCCGGAAGGCTGTTGTTCGCGGAGAAAAGGTCCAAACGTTAGCGATTAGGACAATTATGGGCCAAAGTGGGAAGTCCTTTGGTAAACGCCTTAGGAGCCTAGGGTTGTTTTCCATGGAATCTGATAGAAAAGTTCAAAAGTATGAAGGGCCTCAGTGCTATCAGGCCTTCTGGCCTATTTTAGTCAGCTGGCTCCGACCATCTGTGGGGCATAGATTTAAGCTTAAGCACCATGGGTCCAGGCTAGAAATCAGAGAGAAGTTCTTTGCGAATCATGCAGTTCATAGTTGGAACAAGTTTCCTTCTATCTTTTTAGAAGTACTACGGTAGAAGCCTTCAAAAAGCTTGGATAAGTGTTGGTTGGATCCTTTCCAGAATTATTGTACGTTTATTGACATTTGTCAGACCTCGTAAGCTATGACACAAGAAAGTAAAGAAGCTGGTCTTGTTATTGATTCACTGCTTTTGCAGAAGCAAATGAAGCATCCCAAAGGTCAAATAACCGAACGCGCTAGTATTTTTGCCCGTACAAGCAACAGGACGCTCGTTAGGTGGGAGTCCATTTTGTCTTTGGAATCTAACCTGACTTGATCTAACCTATCTGAAGTTGTAAATACTTTACAGTACTTGCTGCTAGATCCAGCATCGCAGCACAGTATAGCCGTCGGGAGTGCGGCAGAAATTTTTTTCCATTCGTGTCTGTCACCCGTGAAATGCTCTCCCAGAATCAGTTGTCTCTGCACCGACACAAACAGTATTTTAAAGACTGTTGAATGACGCACTCATTCACTTACAGCTTATCACTTAGCATTACGTCTCCATCCTACACCTGGAGTTTAGCATGGAATAATTTGATGTTAACTTTGCGTGCTGTGAATCTAAGCGGATTACAGGACTACGGTGCAGCAAACAATAATTCCTTATTTTTCAATTAAGATACTGTGTTACTATAATTATTATGCTAATTATTATTATTATGATCATTATTATTGTTATTCTTTTGATATCCTTACCAACTATCCAACGGTACTTGTAAAGTAACGCTTCTCAACCCGTATACATTCATCGTTCCTTGTTCATGTGGACTGGTCTCCTTGTTAGGTATGAACGGGCTTTGCAGAAAGGTCAAATAGGTTACGTCAACACAACGAGGAACCTCTAAAGAAAGTCATATTAGTAAGTTCGATCATTTGCTATCGTTTGAGCTGTCAGGGATGATGCTTGCCTGCACTTCCGTGTCGTTGAGTAAAGCGACGCAAGAACGATGTGCATCGACCAACCAGATACGGTGATGCAAACAGGCCATCATCTCTGGACTGTATCCTGATTAGTGGAGAGTTGATGGTTGAATCAGTCGCATACGACCCACAAGGTGGTGGTGATCACATAATCCTAAAGCTTTTACAAATATCATGCCAGTATTGTTGATAGAGAACGAGAAACTCAAGGAAATATTACTTAAGATTCCGAGCTTCATAACTTAACCACAACCGACAACTGTGACCTCGAGCCGCACTGTTTGCAGCCACCGTTGCAGCTGCTCACACACAAGGTGTAACACCTCAGTCTATACCAAACGTTAAAATACAAGGCGCCAAAAGTACTACAAGTGCGCAAATCACACCACCAAAACTCAGGCTACAGCCTTTCTCAAATAGTCCATCTTTAGGCAAGCCCACGAGTCACTGGTATTTGTATATTCCGACGTCCCTAATTCTAGTACGAACTCCAGAAAAGGTAAGCTGCAGGACTATAGAAATCAGTGGGACCTCTTATGCCGCCTAATAGGCGTCCACACCGAACCCAATGGAATGGTGCATATCCTCGAAGGGTATGTCGTTTACTTTACTAATAATGATCAGCAGCCGACGCTATGCGAGCTAATGTGGTGACATTATAAAGGCTTGCGAGATAGTAAGCAACCTTATTCACTTATGCTATCATCTGCTGAAAATCAATCAGAACAGCAGGCCGAGAGGTCACTATGTTAAACTGGCACAACAATAGAGCCGGCAGAAGTGTACACGGATTTCCTTCTTGCTGTGTGTTTGCCCCGGTTACTTCAACCCCAACGTTAGGTGTACCCAAAGATCTTGTGGACGATGCGCTAGTTGCGTTACCTCGCACAAGAATCACACGCGCATTTAGAAAACGAAGCCGCATCGACGTATACAATTTTTGTGTTGGAATCTTGCAAGTTGTGTGGAATACAATGTGTGAACGAATCAGACGGACAAAAGTCTGATAGGCAAGTGCATTCTCAATGCTTGTTCAGTAAATGCTTTTTGTTTTGAAATCTCTCGCCTACTTTCCGGTGAGACATGTTAAGCTTTTGCCTTTTCACCCACAATATCCCTTGACTATGGACCATAGCAAAGCACCATCTACCGTGATCGTCGTGTTGGTTTCTTGTGCATGCAACAACGTTCACCTAAGCACAGGCGCAGGTAAATGATGGTGACATAAACAACCGAAGTTCCAAGTGTCCCATCTTGTATAAACCCCAAGCTTTAATTCAAAGGAACATTTTAGAAAGGAGGCATTAAAAGAGTAATAACTGATCACGCGACAACCAATGGAGCCCATTAATGAAGTATGCAACCCAACATAACACACTGGGCCTACGCAAGTTAATCATGTTTAGTAGGCCAACGCGGTGCCTATTGTCCAGCCTGAGAGAACACAGATGCAATCGCACTAAAGTGTCATGAATAATATACGGAATAAGCACGTACGGAGTACCAAAAGACGCGTACCAAAAGAAGTCGGGCTATTCAACGCTGCAGCATAGGACCTACATTTCATGCCTACATTTCAGGCAGTGTTTCAGTTAAGCACAGCAAGTAAGCCTATGACATCCAGTTGGTAAGTATTTGGTTAATAAGCTAATCCAGACACATTATGTCAACAGAACTTCCATTTGCTTTAACCATAACTATTCGGCACAGATAGGTCACGGTTGGCGATCCCTGTTGAATAAGGTATCGATATACGCTATTTGAAACGCGCTACACTAGAAGGATGAGAGAACTAGTGGATAGAAGAACGAGCAACTCGGGAAAAAGCTTCATTTTACAAGCAATTTATCCAACCTCTTAGCTGGTGGGGTACATCAGTAGGAGATACACGTTACTCAATAGCCGGATCCGTAATAATTGTCGTAGTCATCAGCATGGCCGGAACGCTTGTGTGAATGGCCACCGTGTTTCCTCTTGCTCTCCAGACCTCCGTAGCCACTGAGCTTGCCAGAAGTACTGAATTCACCCTCACCATAGTAGTCACCTTGCTCCTCGTAATCACCGTAATCCTTCGCCTTACCGTAGTCATTGAACTTGCTGTGTGCGCTCAATTTGCCGAAAGCCTCACCTTTGCCGTAGGCTTCGTATTTACCCTTCGCCCCCAAATTGCCATGCAAGTCGAACTTGTTGTCCCTACTCTTGTCCCCATATTTCTCCACGTGACCGTACGATTCATAGTCGTTGTAGTATTTCGGCTTCTTCCCGTATCCGCCATGGCTGCCACCTTTACGGTACGATGATACATGTTTATACTTGGCGCCGCTGTTTTCGTGGGCATGTCCGCCGACTTCACCGTACGCCTTCAGTCCTCCGTGCACATTGTAGTCCGATTTATGTGTGTCTCCACCGTACAACTCGTATTTACCTGCAGCCTCGTAGTGTCCGTGATCGTTTTCCTCTCCATGCTTGTTCCATTTGCCATAGTACTCTCCCTTGCCTTGTCCATGCGTTTTTCCGTAAAGCTCATAACTCCCGTAGTCGCCTTCCTCTCCGTGCTCATTAGAGAATGCGTACTTTCCGTAACTGTCCTCTGGTCGGTGTTTGAGCCGGTAGCCGTGAGCGAGTACGGCCGGCACGATGGCCAATAGAAGTAGATAAGTCAATTGCATTTTGTCCTGCTGCTGTGTCGGATTGCGTCTCCTCGGTTTATATACATGCAATAGTGTCTGCTCGGTGCGCCTTCGGCATTCGGTCGACGTGGAATCAATTGATTTATTTTGCGCAGGGCATGTTCTTCCGTGCACGTCGATAATTGATGCGTTGTTCTACGCACATCCAGATTGATACCATCATGCACTCTAAGATTTCATCCGCCTGTATACCGATACCGTTCGATTCCAGTTCTGACAAACTACTGGCGTACAATAATGTGATGTTAGGTTAACGGCTTTGCCACTTGTAGCTAAGATAGAAGAACAATGTGGGAATATATGCCATTATAATGGCATAGTGCCCCATGCTGAGGCTGATGTTGCATTCTTGATGCTTCTTCACCGCAGTTGGGCTAAACCAACTTACACTTAAACTAGGTCTTTTTAAGCTGGATAAATTTCATTCCACTTTATTTGATTTGTTCTGCCTACCTGAATAATGTTCTATTAACTGGCCACGTTGCTTACGCTAATTGCGCTTATCTTCGGTAATTTTGTTGCGTTTGTAGCATTTTAAGTAATTTGTGGACATTTCTTACTTGTCGCGGATTCGTTGCTAACCAACTTACTTCATATGGTAATTTAGGGAAGAGTTATGCCACCGTATCTGTATACATTATTGGATTTATTTTATTTCAGCTTGTCGTTTAAAGTAAATGGCTGTTGCTTGATATCCCCGGTGTGGCTGCGCTTGATGTGCATGTTGACAAGGTGCCTACCTGTCTATTACCCACTACCTCGTCCATACTGGCTCCAGGAGACAGTTGGTCGTTGCTGGAGGGGACGGGGTGCACGGTCCTTGTGGCCGTGTTAGGATCAAAGAGTGGTTCCATGCACTCAGTGTGGAGCGGAATACGGTCCAGCCACCGCCTTGTGTGCGCTTGATTCCCCAAATACAGTGTGCTTGTGTTTGCCTGTGAAGGAGTGTGGGCCGGCTCCGTTGATGAAACGTGGCTCCCATCCACATGCCTCCCGGTCTTATTCCTTTGGGTTTACACTGGATATGGGGTGTGTGGATGGAGCTGTGGGTGGTGCAGCGCAAGCCATCCATGGTCCCTCTGTAGGCGCAGGCGTCCTGTGGCTGGCCACAGTGACAAGCAAATCCGAAACCGGATGCCGCCAACCATAATGTCATAGCATGCAACTGGGCTTATTTATTGAATTTTATGATTCCGACAACGTTGCTTTTGGTTTTAGCTGTAAGCTGTAGTTGGAGAGGCGCAGCTTTGTTTCACGTCGTTAGAAGTACCGGTTGTAATGAAGGTTTGCTTCAACAGAAAAAGCCAGAATCTGACATACACACGGAGGTGCTACAAACACTGGCAAGGCATATCTTCTTTATATGCTGTCAGAACCTGGATTTGCAGTTTTAAGAATGGACATCGAGTCATTGAAATTGAGCCCAGCATTGGGCGGTCCCCAACTTCTAGTAACCGGCCAACCTGATATGTTGTCCATGAGCTGAGTACGAGGACCGTTAGGTAACCACCGAAAAGATAATCCGTATGCTGGACATCTCACGTGAACGTACTAGATTTTCTATCACTCTCATGCTAGAAATGCACAGGTTTTCAACGAAGTGGGTTCCGAAATGTTTGTACGGTGCTCATATGGAGGGACGAGCTGAAGCATCCAGACACTTGGACTCATTTCGGACATATATATATATATATATATATATATATATATATATATATATATATCAGTGGTCCTAAAACCGAGAGCAATAACATAATAACCCCACATTGGGTCCCCGCGACCAAAGAATTTACCCACCCAGACACATTGCATATTTGGCAACCCTGCCAATTTCCGACAGCAATCCGCAAAGCTGGATCGTAGCCCTTGAGGCGATCATTAACTTGCTAGTGGCCATTCTGCTGGTCGTGTAACCTTCCGAGCATAATACAGTGCACTCAAAAGTTATCACGCGTGTCAGCAGGTAGTGACTGACTACGGCTTCCGTATGTGCTGAGGACAACGCTTGTCAACACGAGAGATATTTCTGCAGGTCCTAGCCCCAACTTCGGACGATGCGTATGAAGGGAAGATCGCCGAACCTGCATTAGGCTACCATTGTTGTTTCCTTCTCTCTTTACCTTCCTATTGCTATCCCAGTCATCACCCGTGATTAGCATCACCATTCTATCAGATCGTCATCGAAAACCTTTGCCACTGTGGCGGTGTGGCTATTTACTATCGAGATTACCTTAAATGTGAGACCATTACCAGATATCTCTTTTTATTCCTGACACATTATTTTGCCGACAGTAGCTAGCAGGTCTGGATTCCAATTAGTAGCCGGTTGTGTGCGGTCCGATTGGCTAGGTCGTTCAAAGCTTCGAAGTCGCCCGGGACTAACAGGTGTCTATTCGTCATCGCTGCCTACGCGCCCACGAACTGTAGTGATGGTTCGGTAAAGAACGACTTCTACCACCAGCTGACGCAGCTGCTTCGCCACAGAAGAAGCACGGACACTGTTGTGCTGGCTGGGGATCTGAACGCACAAGTTGGAAAGTTCTCCACTGATGAACTGCATCTGGGCGGTCAACATGGTGTAGGCCCCCGTAATGATAACGGTGAGGGGATACTTCATTTGTGTGAGGGTGCCCGCTTATTTCTTGCGAGCACGAACTTCGGACACAGCACCCGCCGGAGGGTAACTTCGCGCCCACGAGCATCGAGCCAGCCTTGGACGCAAATCGATCACATCGCTACCAGTTACCGCTGGAGAGGCTGCATCGAGAACTGTCGCTCGATTTGGAGCACATGTGTGGACACCGATCATGCACTTGTATGTGCTGGCATGCGGATGCGTTTTGGCGGACGTCCACGACGACGCTGTGAGCGCATTGACACCAACCAACTGACAAAGCCAGCTGTTCTGAATGCGTACCGAAGTACACTGACATGCTAGTTGAGTAAGCGCTCACTGGAGGCAATTAATGGTCATTGGTCACATGTTCACCAGACATGTTCACCAGGCAAGTCCTCATATGGTAAGTCTGATCGCCGACATGGATATTGGGTCTCTTCACAGTCTCTGGAACTTATAGATGCTCGCCGGTACATTGCGGCTGGAAGCGAACGCAATAAAACTCGCAAAGAGCTCCGGGCAAAACTTCGTGCCATCCTAAAGACAGAAAGCGAATCTTGGTGATCCCATCGTGCGTCAAAGATGGAAATGGCCGCTGCCCTCGGGAACCACCGTAACTTATTCCGTCTGATACGGGAAAGGAGCAGCAGGAGACCTGGTGTTAGTGAAACAATCTGTGACGAGAGTGGACAGCCTATCCATAAATTGTCAAAACGCTTGTAGCGTTGGGCTGAGCACTTTGAAAGGCAATTTTGATCGGTCGGAATGGTCAGATTTCTCGTCGGTCACTGACTACCCCTCTCCCTGGGATGTCCCTATGGATCCGCTCAGAAGTGGAATGTGAGATCGCACTGTTGAAGTTAAATAAAGCCGCGGGACCAGATGATCTACCTCCAGCCCTCTTCAAATTCAGGGAACCTGCTCTGGGGGATGATTTATACGAGTTACTAGTGCAACCGTGGGAGCAGGAAACTATCCCAACCGACTGGAGCCGTTCCGTCATAGTCCCAATTTGTAAGGGAGGCTGACGATCGGAATGCGGTAAACAAATAGGAATCAGTCTGATCTTCATCGCCTCCAAATTGCTTGCCTCTCTCATCCTTCACAGACTGACTGGCACTCGTGAAAGCCATTTTCATGAAGAGCAAGCCGGGTTTCGTCGAGGTCGTGGCTGCATTGACCACATCTTCACCTTGTGTCAGTTGTTGGAGCACTGTCACATATATTGGCGGCCCACCGTTATCGTGTACTTCGATTTCAAAGGTGCATTCGATTCGGTGGATAGACGTGCACTTTGGGACTGTCTACTCAGGAAAGGTGTACCTGAGCAATATGTAAATATTATCCGATCATTATACGCGCGTCGCAAGCTGTCGTCGACCTCTAATATCACCAGCAGTGTGAGACAAGGATGCCCGCTGTCACCTTTCCTCCTCAGCTTCGCTATCGACGAAGGCATGGATATCGCTTTCACAGGACATGACTTAGAAGGTGTGGGTCTGCTCTCAGGGGAACAACTCCTGGACTTGGAGTATGCTGACAATATTGCCCTAAAATGTGACAGCTCCCAGACGTGCCAAGTGGCACTGGACAGATTATCACTGGCTGTCAGCCGCTTCAGACTTTGCTTTGCACCATCTAATTGCAAAGCGCTCCTCCAAGATTGGCCTGGACCGTCTCCTGCGCTGACTCTCGGTGGGGATCAGCTAGAAGTCGTTCAGAAATTCAACTACCTGGGAAGTTGTAGCAGCGTCCGTGGGATTGAAGATGAAATCGCGAACCGTATAGCAAAATCTCGAGGCGCTTTGCTAGCTTTCGCCACCTATGGCGGGGGCGCGACATTACTCTCGCCTTGAATGGTAGAGTGTACAATACAGCAGTACGCTCGACCCTACTGTACGGTTGCGAAACCTGGCCCCTAAGATCGGCGGACATAAAGAGGCTAGTTACGTTCAAATATCAGTGCCTTTGCAGTTTGGCTCACATCTGGTGGGAACACCGCTTGAGTAACGAGCATGTTTGACGCCTTGTTTACGGCACAGGAAAAAGAACTGAACCGCTCAGCACCGTTATTTCACACACCAGGCTCCGATGGCTCGGCCACGTGTTGCGCATGCCAGCCCACCGACTCCCGCGACGTGCAATGTCTGCGCGCCGGGAGTGTGGATGGAAGAAGAGGAGGGGTGGCGAAGCGATGACTTGGTAGAGAGGAATGAAGGCCCTCACTTCGAAGCTGGCCTCAGTTGGAGCGTCTCGGCTCCCTGGTTGGGGTCCGAAAGACGATGAACACGTTTGGCTGGATACACTTGTGGATATGGCTAGAATCCGACCTCGGTGGCGTTCGTGGTGTAAGTTTCTTTGTCCCACGCCACCCAT